ACTTTGTAGTCTATAAAAACAGACACACACTGAGTAAGTGGAAACCTCATTATTACAGAGGTTTCCACTTACAGAAGCACTTGAGCTGCTTGTCAGCATCCCCTGAAACAATCCAGAACTTCATTCAGCATTCTTAATCTGACTAAGCAGTGGGCAGGTCACAGGGTTTCTGCAGCCTACTGAACTTTCACTACACTTGGGGCATGAAATCAAGAACATATAAAGGTTAATCAACCTACCCTACCATCCACCCCCACCCCCCGGCACTCCTAAAGAATACAGGAAGCATGGTAAACAGCCTGCATTAAGGCAAAAACATCAGATTCCGGAGGAGGGGTGGAGGAATCCGGGACACTCACCACCTGGAATCTCTGCTATCACATTTAAATATTTAAATACATGTGCTAAGGAGCCATTTTACAAAATGGCTACCCAATACGTGGTCACCATTTTAGGTCATTATTCTCCCTTGAGTCCTTACAGGCAGTTGGTTTCCTAGCTACTTGGTGCTAGATCACTTGAACTTAGTACAAGTCCCACCTTTACCAGCAAAGCAACTGCCCAGGCAGATAAAACACCAGGAAAAGGCAGCCAAGATATTCAGAAAGATTACGTGATAATGAATACGCTGTCGCTCTGGGTACCAGCTGCTCATGTGTCTTGTCCATTGGTAATGATGTACAACAGGTTCCTTCTCTCAGAGGGAAAATAACTTCAATTACGTGTTCTTTAAAAAAGAAACATTGAGATTATCTTCTTTTCAAAAGGTAGAATTAGCCCCATTTTGGAGCTGAAGGTCTGACAAAAAAAATCCGTATTTCTGATATTTTCGTTCTTTTCTTACCCCTATTTAGCTGTGTCAAGTTTGCAGTTTGCAATTTCCTGCGGCTGCCTCATCTTTCTGACTCTCGCTGAATTATCATACTCTTCCCCCAACGTCTCACTATTTAATGGAAAGAGCAGCTCTTTCTGGTCCAGGGCAGATGACTGCTGGATCCGTATTCTGCTTCTGATTAAAAGAACTAGCCACAAGGCAATGAGCCACAGAGAATTATGGGAGGGTGGGAGGATTGCCTATGTGTCAACAATTAGAAACACACAAATGAAAATTCCTCACAGCTCATGTCAGTAGAAAAGAATGCTCTCGGTTTTTCTATTCATAAATTCCATTTTCTTGAAGAATGAATGGTGAGGCCACAGAATGAAAGGTCCAGCAATGTTGCCTTTAAAAGTTTGGTTCTAGCTTTGAAATCCATTCTAGGCAGCCCCAACTTTCAAGTTTTGATTTTCCCTTTTGCATGCCATGCACTGATGCCTCTAAATCCCCTTAAGCCAACTTTGGACTCCTACCCAAGGACTGATAGTGAATTACAACATGGCAGGGCTGCAGGAAGATTTATTGTAGCCAGGGGAGAGGGCTGGGCCTTCCCTAATGCATCTATGGTGTTCTCCAACCTGAGCTTCATGGTGATCTAGGCTGAGCTGAGGGAAGGTAGCCTCTCTCCACACATACCTCCCTCAGTCTCCACATGTCAAAGTAGCCTCAAGAGGGTCCAAGCTTAGAGCACGCTTGCTCTTACGGCTTGACGTCTAGGGCATCAGGTAAGTTCCCTGAGAGTCTGCTTCCCTATTATTGATTTTCTCATCTATAAACCAGAGAATAATAATACCTAACTCCTATGAAGAAACTTTGTAAAGCATTAAGCATCAAAAAAATGGTCATTACAATTACCAGAAGGGACAGATCACAAACCACTAATAGACATGGTTTTCACCTTGGAAGTAGAATCTTTGCAGAGTAATCTCTCTCCAGTAACTTTTCACTTTCCTACTTGCTGATAAAGTACTTCAGTGTAATATACCTGAATTTCACATTAATTGTTGCTTTAGCAAGAGATATAATTACTCTGAGTACTTTATCTATGAATCTTAAAGTACACGGTATTTGGCGAAGGCATGCTTTGCTGGCTCTCCAAATTGTTAACCTCTGCACATCACAGCCTTCAACACCAGAAGATAAATAGTAAAGTAGGGCTTATGTGAGCTAATGAAAGCAGAGCAGTCTCCCCTTATGCTTTCCTACCTGGATGTGCTCCAGGCAGATGAGGTACAACCACTGATGCTATCCCACTTGGTAGGCAAGAAATATGGAAGGCATGTAGCAGTAGCCCCAGATTCTCAGGGTTAAGGACAAGCTAGCTCAAAGGATCTCTTGCCAGTCTAACTCAGTTATCATTTCACTGCTCTTTCGAGACTCCCAGGTGGGCTCTCCTTAAATGAGAAAGCAAGCTGACTATGTTGAGGGGGAAGAAGATCTCTCTCAACATTTTCTCCTCAGGTAAGTCACTTTACATTGCTCTTACAAAAGGCTAAAGGAAGCTATTTTCACAATACTCTGGCTAAAACTACCATGTCTTTTCCCATTAATTAGGCTTTATTATGCTTCTTAGGTATAAGGGGTTTGGTATAACAAGAAAAAGATAATTCAATACATGATTTACATTGGTTGGCTTCACCTTAACAAGACTCATAAGTTTGATGAACGGAAGAAACTATTGTTCAAAGTTGAGTTTTCAAACTAAATCATGTCTTGGTCTTTTCTGTGCCCCACTAGTGCCTGGCAGTGACTTCCCCTAGACATTCTATCTTTATTTGACTCCTGGAACAATGCAGGAAACCCTGGTGGCACAGTGGTTAAGAGCTACAGCTGCTAACCAAAAAGATCGGCAGTTTGAATCCACCAGGTGCTCCTTGGAAACCCTACGGGGCAGTTCTACTCTGTCCTACAGGGTCGCTATCAGTCAGAATCGACTTGATGGCAATGGGTTTTGGAACAATGCAAAAGGCTAGTTCCTCCAACGTTGGGAAAAATGGTTTCATTACAACCCACT